AAAGCCCTAAACCCTAAACCTATACCCTAAACCCTAAACCCTAAACCATCCCAGGGCCAGCACTGGGCGTCGTGGGAATCTCGGAGTTGGGTGTGGGGTGCGCTGTGGCTGTGGCCGCGACAGCAGTGCTCCTGCGCAGGCTGTGGATTTAGAAGAGGGTGGGTGGTAGGGGGGGGGGGGGGGTGAGAGGGTGGTTGAGGGTTGGAGGTTGAAAAGTTTAGGGTTCAGGGTTTAGGGACTCAGGGACACTTGTCGTTCTAGGCCTCTCAGAACCCTTTGTTTGGTTGCTGCGCTCTGTTGCATGACACGCGCCCGCCTTGTTCCAGCTGCGCCTGGAGGTTTGCGACGCAGTTTCGCTACCAGCGCCTCTCAGGCCAGACAAAATGACTCTGTGAAGCGTCTAGGGTTTAGGGTTTAGGGTTTAGGGTTTAGGGTTTAGGGTTCAGGGTTTAGGGTTTAGGGTTTAGGGTTTAGGGTTTGGAATGTTCTCCCCTATACTAACAGTCCTTAATAGGGATTATCATAGCCCCCATTATAATCCCTATTAAGGACTGTTAGTATAAGGGGAAACATCCCAACTTGAAAAGTTTACAGGTAGCGAAACTTCGGGGAATAGCTACCTCAAGGGTGAATACGAAACATAACCCTACTGGCCTAGTTACAGTCCTTCCTTTGCTAGGTAGGCCCTTGGGACATTTTATATATTCCCTTATTTGGGTTTAAGAGGATCATATTCAGGAATATTTTTCAGAGGGCTTTAAGGGCCAACCTAGTTTGTTTCAGACCTGAAAGCAGGCGACAGTAGCGACGAAGAGACGGAGATGCTCCTGGATTCTGAAGCACGCTGACTGTACAGAAGCTGTAAGCATGTGTGGCCAATCTTCTTGACATTGCAGTATACAGCAGAGTTGTTTTCAGTTGTGATCCGTATGGCCGATTTGTGTGAGCTTTACGTGTGCCAGGACCTCAAGCTTTGGACCCTTAGATGTGTCTCCAGAGTTCAGAGCACTCAGACGCCCGAGAACCGAAAACTGCTTCGACTGGGGCCTTTGCTGCATGTCGGTTTTGAGCATTAGTAGCTCATTAGTATTGTTATATCGGCTGCTATGGATATATCCAGGACAAATAGTACTATTTGGATAAGGGGTTCGGAAACATATTGTGGCCCCCATGGTCTCCGGTCTCGCTTGCTAGTGGGTGACCCTCACAGTCCTAAACCAAGATCCTTTATCCGAAGTGCCCTCCATCCCCTAAACCCTGAACCCTACACCTCCGAAACCATCCCGGGAGGCAGAGGGGGCATCAAAAAAGGATGCCAAGCCCACCACCCTGACGCGTTTGTAACACCCCTTAAGGACCACGATGTAGGGTTTAGGGTTTAGGGTTTAGGGTTTGTTTAGGGTTTAGGGTTTAGGGTTTAGGGTTTAGGGTTTAGGCCTTCAGTCCTTGCACGAAGCAGCTTCCAGCTTCAAAAGGGTTTACGAAAGGGTTTAGGGCCTTTTAGGGCTGCTGGAATGCTCATGGGCAGGTACGAGTAGGGTTGCAAGTGCCCTACTAATAAAGAAGGTCATGGCTTTAGTTACCCTACTTATAGCAACCCATGAACCCCCAAGTCAGGGTTAAGGAAACTGCTGCTGTTTGCTCAGAACCTAGCAGGTTCGACTGTGCTGGGAGAGAGGGGCATGCCAATCTATCCAGCCTAAACCCTACTCAGAAGCTCTTTGGACTTAGTAAGTCTACTTAGTATCCCCTAGAAACCCTACTATAATCCCGAGAACCCATCTTACTAACGCTACTTCCTAAGTCAAATGGGCTTCCAAGTAGCCCTACAGCCCCTGCAGCCCCATCTGCCGCCTCCACCAGCCACCCTGCAGCAACCTGACATTTTTTTCGACCCGTCCACTTTTGCAACTTTTTGGCCATCCCAAAACGCAGGACGCCCCACAAGACAGCAAGGTGCAGAGGCAAGCAAGGGAAGGCTCCCGCCCCCCCCGGTGCCGATTCGCAGCTGGATGTGACCTTGCCAGGCATTCCCAAAGTCTCAGAGCAGTGGGCTTGGGGTTTAGGGGTTCGGGCTAGGCTTATGGCAATTTGCGGCTTCACAGAGATCAAGATGTGGGGCGTGCGGGGGGGGTGGGGGTGGGGGGGGGGCAGGGTGCTTGAGGTTCATGTCTTGCTGCTGCGGGGGCCCTAAACCCGAAACCCTACACGCTCTTTGGCGGCACGCACGCGCATGTTTTTGTTTGTTTTGTCTGTCCATCTTCCTCAGTGAGCTGGGCCACTGAGGGACCTTCAAGTGTGTTACCAGTAGGGTAGGTGGCGTTACGGCTAAACCCTGAACCCTAAACCCTGTTGTGTTCGTAGCTCCCCGCTTGACTCGATCCGGCAGATGCTCTTGAAGACTTTTCCCTGGCTAAGGACTTGGAACTCTGTTTTCTAGTCAAGACATTACCAATTCTGTTGTTGGTGTTTTATGCTTATTCTTACCAGAAAGGTTCTGCTAGCATTTGAGTTTGATTACTGACACCGTGGCATTAGGATTTAGGCCTTCTGGGCTTAGGGTAGCTCAGGTTTTCCGGCTCTCCTCCTCAAAAACAAAAACCGGCGAGATAGCTTGTGCTTCATCATGAGCAGCCCCCAAACCCCGAACCCTAAACCCTAAACCCTAAACCCTAAACCCTAAACCCTAGCCCTAAACCCTAAACCCCTACGGGGTATTGGGCTTCTTGCGAAACTGCTCGGGAGGGCTCAGCTCGACCATGGCAGGCCGGGGCTGCTCTTTTGCAGTGCTTTGTGGGGGGGTGTCATAGCAGCCCATGGGTTTAGGGTTTAGGGTTTAGGGTTTAGGGTTTAGGGTTTAGGGTTTAGGGTTTAGGGTTTAGGGTTCATATAGGGGTCGGAATAATTACTACAGTACCCGGATTCCCTTATGGTTGCTTTGTAGCTATACTATAAGAACCCTGGGCCTAGGCGGCAAAAAGCTCCAGGGTTTTCGGGTTTGTGGAAAGCCAGGATCAATGTTAGCCCAGCTTCGCACTTGCGGGGGGGGGGGGGGGGGGGGAACATGTGAATTCTAAGAAGGCTCCCTGACACAAGTTTGACACAAGTTGAGGCGTTCTGACGACACCCCTGAACGTCGGATTCTTGTGTGTGTGGTTTGTTTTGTTTTTTCGTCTGCAAAATCTAAAGCCATGAGAAAATTGGTACGCCTTTAAGGACATGTAGACGACAGCTCAAGTATGCAAACTGCGACACTAAAGCCCATACGGTAGCCCATGACAATGCGCCTGTCTTGAGTCCAAGAGTGCCCAAGCACTCATAGACAGAAAGTAAATGGGGGCGGCACGCCGGCCTACACAGTTGCACTGCAAAGACGTTGCAGGGCCGGGGTTTCTTCGAACCCGAATTAGGGTCAGAACGTTATACAACCTCATGGGTACTTATAAGCACGGGTATAAGTACCCTAAGTAAGGTTGTAGTCGGTTCTAACTGTACCTACCCACGGAGCTCAAAGCCCTGGAGCCTGCGCCAGAAACCCCAAACCCCCAAAGTTGCACATGAGCACATGGGCGAAAGGGATTTTCAGGGTTCAAGGAGTGGAGAGTTTAGGGCTTAAGGAGTTTCAGGATTTGAAAAGTTTTGGGGGTTTTCGGGTTTTGGGTGTAGGTTTAGGGTTTAGGGTTTAGGGTTTAGGGTTTAGGGTTTAGGGTTTAGGGTTTAGGGTTTAGGGTTTAGGGTTTAGGGTTTAGGGTTTAGGGTTTAGGGTTTAGGGTTTAGGGTTTAGGGTTTAGGGTTTAGGGTTTAGGGTTTAGGGTTTAGGGTTTGGGTTTAGGGTTTAGGGTTTAGGGTTTAGGGTTTGGGGTTTAGGGTTTAGGGAAGCTGCAGGAGCAGCGAAGAGCCGGAGAGCCAGACCCCCATGATGTGGGAGTCCTTTGCTTTGGCGGCTCTTGAATCCGACAGCTTGGGCGTTGGGGTTTAGGGTTTAGGGTTTAGGGTTTAGGGTTTAGGGTTTAGGGTTTAGGGTTTAGGGTTTAGTGTTTAGGGTTTAGGGTTTAGGGTTTAGATATTCGTGGGTAGTTTTAGGTGTAAGGTTGTAAGTACCCTGAAGAACGTCATATAACCTGCTATGATTATAGTTGCCCTACTTGTAACCCACGAATAACTACCAAGTAGCCTGAAACCCTAAACCCTAAACCCCCTCCCCAACTTATAACTAACCATGTGAACCTCCAAGTAGAGATATTCAGGGTTTGGGGTTTCGGCCACCAGAGAGCCACAATCAAGAATGACACTCCAGTCCCAGCAGTCAAGTTGACCGCGGGTAGAAGGGTTGATTTAGGGCTTAGGGGTCAGGGTACCCAAAACCCTCAAACCCTAAACTTTGGGTTGAAAAGGGTTGGAAGCTTTCGAGGAGGAGTGCAGAATTCAGGGACCAGACCCTGAGTTTGGGTTTTGGTCTCCCCCCCCCTCACAACCCTGTAAGCCATCATGGTGTGATGGAGGTGGCTTCCACGTTCTAATCGTCTACAGCGCAAAGTCCTTGAGGTTCATGGCTTCAAGTAGGGTTCTGAGAAAGGTAACTATGGTTATATGGCAGCTTGTAACCTTATTTAGGTACGTAACCCTACCCATGAGCCTTCAGTTATCCCTTGTGTTAAGCCGGCCGTGTTTGCCGACGTGCCAGAGGTCCTTTGCACGGCAGGGGCTCCCAGTGCGTCACACGATGCCTCCAGGGATGTTGAGATCTTTTGCGGCATTCCCAGGGCAGAGACCGATTTCGAAAAGGGCAGAGGGACGTAGTCTTTGGCTCCCACTCTCCCCACTCCCCGCTCTCCCTCTCTCCCTGCTTTAGGGTTTAGGTTTTCGGGTTTAGGGCTTCCATGAGGCACTGAAGATTCCTCTGATCCTTCGCCAACATGTGATGCGCAGAATGAACAGTTGGCCCAAGTGGACGCATTGACTGCTTATTTTTATCACAGACCCTGTGAGAGTTGGGCGCCATGGTAGCTGTCAAGCTTGAACACTCCAATCTGGCGCAGCATCAGACCAGCAGGATGCAGCAAATGCGCGACTTCTGGATGGAAAGGCATCTCTGTGATGTTGTGCTCAAGGACAACGATGGTGCTGAGCATCGCGCCCACACGGCCCTGCTCTCTGCCGCAAGCGTGTACTTTCGGAAGCTCCTAGGCGGATCCTTTCAAGAAGCTGACCGCGTGCAACGAAAAGAGCCCGTGGACATCGCTGCATCTCAAGCAGCCATGTCCGCCTTGCTTGACTACATCTATGGCGGTCAGCCGGAGGTGAACGTAGAAACTGGTCTTGAACTTCTGCGCCTGGCACAGGCTTATGACTTGCCAACGTTTGCAAGTGCTATTGAGACTGGCCTCCGCGCATCCTTAGACAGTGTGCAAGCTCTGTGAATTCTCCAAGAAGCGCATCTCCTGCATAGTCTGAAAGCTGCATGTGAAGAGAAAGTTGCTGAGGAATTTGAGGCTTGCAGCAAGCATCCAGATTTTGGAAAGCTGGGTGCTCATCAACTGGCCCGAATCTTGAAAAGAGAAGATCTGGGTGTGTCTAGGGAGGAAGTGGTGTTGAAGGGCATCTTCAACTGGCTAAAGATCTCAGACGACAGAAAGGTCTTTCTAGGCATGCTTCCAGCATGTGGATTTCCAGTTGTTCTCTTTTGAGAACTTGCTTCGAGCCGGTCGCTTCACTCTATTCGGCCCGAGCGCGGCAGAACTGCACCAAGAGGTTGAAGAAGCGTTGCAGATTCGGCGACGAAAGCGCCTTCAGAGCGCCCACCATCCACAGGACTTTCAGCCAAAGAGGCGGTGCTTGAAACATTGGACTCCGGATTTGGGTGCCAGCGCTGAAACTTGGAGAGCAGTGCTGCCTATGCATTGCAACTCCTTGTGCTGGCACGAAGGCCACATCTATACCACTGACTTTGAAGGCAACGTCTTTTGTTGGAAGCCTGGTGACCCAGCCACCAGCGCACGAAAGGTTGTGGGTCAGGCAGTGGGAATCACTGGTCAATGATCTGGAGAAGATATGTGATGTGTCCATCTTGCCCACCGGTGAGATTTTGGTGCTGCAACTCTGCAATGGGAGGCTTGTTCGATTTCAAGACAGATGTGGACATTTGGTCTGTGGCGACATTCATCATCCTCAGGGCATATTCTGCTCGCCCAATGCAGTCGTCTACGTGCTTGCAAAAGGTGGAAAGGTCGTGCAGAAGGTGGTTGGCCCCACTCTCCAAACAGTGATGGCCTCAAAGAGGCTTCCAGAACACCTGCACTTTCGGGCCAGGGCGATAGTTGCTACAAAGGATGAAGTGATCTATATCACCGACAATCGGAGTGGGTCGACCCGGGTTTTACGTTTCAATCCGGCTGAGTCGCTGGAACCTGTTGTGGTAGGACAGGTCCCGGCTGCAGATGCAGGCCAACCAGGTCGGAAAGCGGATGCCCCATACAGCCTCTTCGTAGCCGAAGATGAAAAGATCTATGTTGGAGAATACCACGCAGGAAAGGTCCTGGCTTTCCATCCAGGAGACACAACTCCCTCCGAAGTCCTGCAGTGTCCGGATGCGATGCGCCCCATAGGTCTTGTGGTTCACCACAGATCGCTGTACGTAAGCATGGTGGAGGACCTTGCTTCTCCGACAGCCGGGGGTGTCTACGAGCATTTGCTGCCTCCGGTGCTTCAGCTCGAGTGAACAAGCTGCAAGACAGAGCTGCGTGGTGCCCGCAAATGCTGTTTAGGGTTTTGGGTTTGAGGTTTAGGGTTTAGGGTTTAGGGTTTAGGCCTAGACTTCAAGGGTTCCAAGGTTCGAGGGTTCCCGGGTGAAGGCCAGGCTTACGGTTTAGGCTTTAGGGTTTAGGTGGTAGTTGTTCAACATACTTATCTCCCCAAAGTAACCATAAGGTAGGTTCCCTTCTTGGGGGTTCCCCCGCTTTCCAAAGGGACTCTTTATCCGGGAGGGTTTCAAGGACCTCCAGAACAACTTAAACCACTTGGAGGTTCAGGGGTAGTCATAACTGGGGCTAGAAGTAGGGTAACTATATTTATATCCTTATTTAGGGTGCTTAGAACCCTGCTTATAACTACCCATGAAGCCCTAAACCCAGATATTCTTGAAGTGACGTTGCTGCCTTCGTACCCAGGCCGCGTTCAGAATTCATTTGGGGTTCAGGGGTCTTGTTCTGAGCAGAGCTGCCAGGAATCGTATGAAGCAGGAGCTCTACTTAAGGGCTTCTTAGGGTTTAGGGTTTTTTTCCAGGACATTCAGACCGCCCAGCTACAAATCTCTCTCCCTCTGTCTCCCTCCCTCCCTCCCTCCCTCCCTCCCTCCCCTCCCTCCCTCCTTCTCTCTCTCTCTCTCTCTCTCTCTCTCTCTCTCTCTCTCTCTCTCTCTCTCTCTCTCTCTCTCTCTCTCTCTCTCTCTCTCTCTCGGTCTCTTTTTCTCCCTTGTTCGTGTATATATTTTCTGCATACATATATACTTCTGCACGAAACATTCAGACAAGGAACGCTTTCAGCCCTCCGACAATTTGGGGTTTAGAGTTTAGGGTTGGGCTGACCCCTTGGAATACCTCTCGACGATGGGCGGGGCTACCTTCCCTGCCGTGATGCTTTCTCGGGTTTGCATCGGGCTTGGCTCTACGCGCATACCATAACTGGAAAGCAGTCTCCGCCTGATTGGGTGCTTGCCCGCACGATGGATTCCTAAACGGGTCCCAGGCTAAATCTGCCAGACTCCAAAGGGCAAACTCTATGCCCGAAGTGCTTCCTTCCCCAAACGAACCCCTAACCTTGAACCCTAAACCCTATACATTAGCCCACGACACCCAGTCATTAAGCCCTCTAAACCCTACGAAAACCCCAAAAAGCCCTCAACGGAAGGCAGGACTGAGCATGGTTGGGCCGCTGGGCGATGCTCCTGCACCGCCAAGGACATGCCTTGCCAGTTTCCAGGAAGTGACATTCGAGGTTTCTGGGTAGTTATAAGTAGGGCCATAAGTACCCTAAGTAAGGTCAGAACCCCACTTATATGACTCCCCATGAACCTCCAAGTAGAATCACTTCTTATCGTGCCCAAGGGTGCCCCTTCATGTAGAAAACTACCCATGGGCTGAAGGGCTTGAGGGCTTGGGCTTTTGGAGTGCCATTCGGGGGGGGGGGGGGTAGCATGGCACATATCCGTTTCGATGAACCTCCCACAATACTCGAGTTTTCCCTTGGGGCCTGGAGGTGCAGTTGAAAGACCCAAAGCCTGAAATGACGTAGCTGGGCAGTCCTCTGAGCGCTCATCGTCGAGCACTCTAAGAGCTCACAAGCTAAGTTGTCAGAACACGTGCCCAATATGTGTAGTTGAGGGGCGTCCCCAACAGCAGCACCCCGCCGGTACTTCTGGGAGTTCCTGAGTCATGTATATAGGAACGTTGAATAGCAGAGGGGGACATTGCCAAAAGAAACCCAATGAAGTGTAGCCACCTTGGCTCATTGGGTCGTGGCGTGACTCACGGGCCACCCAAAATGAAGATTGCCACGGCCTCAGCGGAAGGGCCGTGCACACACTCAGGATTGATGGCGAAGGTTTCGTCCTCCCAGAGTAGGCCCTTATTCCCATTCTTACGGCTTAGGTTCCCTTCGAAGCCCTTGAACCCAAGAAGGGCACCCTCTTTATTCCTAGGTTACTCTTGGGATTCGATCTACAAGGCATGGAGTCATAGAGTGCCGTTCTGGCACTGCCTATCGTGTGCGAGTGTCAGAGTCGAATCGGACTACAGCTTGCACATACGAGAGAAGCAAAGTTTCCGAAAAAAAATCACCGTATTCTCTCCTCGGCTTGAGGGATCGGGGTGCCGGCAAAAGTTGCCTTGTCGGTTTGTTGCTTTACGCATTGCGTGTCTTGCGGAACTTGGATTTACCCTAAAACCCTCAACCCCGAACCCTAAACCCTAAATCCTAAACCCTAAACCCTAAGCCCTAAACCCTAAACCCTAACCCCTAAACCCTAAACCCTCAACCCTCAAGCCTCAACCCTCAACCCTCAACCCTAAACCCTAAACCCGAAACCCTAAACCCTAAACCCTAAACCCGAACGTGAATCGGTCAGGTCCCGGGTAAGTCGGGGCTTCTTGTTTGCGCGCTCTGCACGGCGGTGGAGGCTCGAGCTCTGAAGTATACTCGGAGGTTCAGGAGTTGTTCTAAGCGGGGTTAGTAGGGTTTAGGGGTACTTGGTAGCTCTAAGTGGGTTTATAAGTAGGGTTTATTTCGGGTTTTGGCTTCAGGGTTTAGGATTTAGGGCTACTTCGTAGTCTTAAGTAGAAATAGCTAGAATTATGGCTAGCTATAGCCCTCTCTAGGGTACTTCTAACCCCACTTCTAGCTACCCAAGAACCTGCAAGTAGCCCTAAACCCTAAACCCTCAACCCCAAACGCTACTCATACCCATGAACTTTCAAGTAGGGATGAAGGAGATCCTGAGATTTCCAGGCTCTAGGGGCTCTTGGACTTTCAGTTTCGTACATGAGCACTTGTAACCTTGAAACCATGCTTGGAGGCATGGGTAGGGATAAGTGAGATTATAAGTAAGGTAACTAGACTTATGACCTTACTTGGGGTACTTAATATAACCCTACGTATAACTAGCCATGAACCTCCAAGTAGCCCTAAACTCAAGGCCTGGGTCGCCCCCCTACGTTGATGGCGTAAGCCGCCCAGGTCGCTCGCCCGCCTCCCACAGCTCGGGGGTCGGTAGCACCCATGCATGTTCTTTTCGGGACCAGTGCTGGGCCCTCAGTAATATTTCCCGAAAACCCCCCAGCCCCCAGACCCAGTCCTGAAACCACCTGGGACCCCCCGACCCCCCTACCACTCCTTTGACTCTCAGACCCAACCCCGAACGTCAATAAACTGAATAAGTCTTTAGAAGTCTTGAGCTTAGGCCTAAACCCCTAAAAGGATGGGGTTTGGGCGGCAAACAGCGTGGGGTGGGAGAAAAGTGTTAGATGGCCCTCCACAATCGGGCCAAAGCTGCTCTTCGCACCTTACGAAGCTTTCGAGCTTGTTCCAAAACCTAATCTTCACAGCAGCTACGCCCTATCACAGCAAACCCTAAACCCTAAACCCTAAACCCTCAAAGTAAACCCTAAACACAGCGTGGCAGGCGCTCACGCCCCGGTCCCTCAACCTCAACAGCGAGGCGGAGTTCGCTCCGCAGGCCGGCTTAGGGTTTAGGGTTTAGGGATTAGGGTTTAGGGTTTGGGGTTTGGGGTTTGGGGTTTGGGGGTTGGGGGTTGGGGTTAGGGTTTAGGGTTTAGGGGTCTCTTGCTCTCAGCTGATGAGGACCAGAGTCTGGGTTCAAGGATTGCGGGGCTTTGGGGTTTGGATTTTGCTTAAGCGTTTGCAGTTTGGGGTGTTTTCAGCCATTTTGAAACGGTTTGGGGTTGACGTTGTTGAGGGCTGGTGGCTTGGATGAGGTCTTGAAGCTGAAGTGCAAAAAGGGGTGTTGGCCGGAGAGGTCTCCAGCATCTTGTCCCACTAGGAATTTCACAGAACCGAAGATCATGGAAGTCCCGGTGTCTGCCCATGCTCACTTTCAAGGAGCCCTGGGGAGATCTTACCGGTTTAGGCTTAGGGTTTAGGGTCTGGGTTCTATAGGGGCTAGCAAACCCCCAAGCCCGCTAAACCTTAAACCGTAAACCCAAAACCCCAAGGGGTTCTATAGGGGCTTGTGGGCTCTCTGGTCAAGAAGCTGCTTGATTGGTTGCCGGCGCCCCTTTTTCCAGGTCGGGCAGCCGCCGGCCGCTTTCTATCAGACGCGCCAGCTCCTTTCTCCAAGGGGTCAGGGTTTAGGGTTTAGGGTGTAGGGTTAACCCCCAAAGCCTTTTAGGGTTTTAGGGTTTTGGGGCTTTAGGGTTTTAGGGTTGTAGGGTTTCAGGGTTTTAGGGTTTTAGGGTTTCGGGGCTTAGGGGGGTACGAAACCCTAAACAGCCCTAAATCTTGAAACCCAAGAGCATAGCAATTGCCAAAGAGGCTCTCTACTGTAAGAAAGGCTGGGTAGAGTGTAGAGTTCGCGGTGTTGCTCGACAGCTTGAGGCCTCAATGTTCGAACTAGTGTGCAGGAAGAGTTGGGATTGGGATTGTCGACTCCAATGCTTAAAACAGAAGTTGGCAGTCACAGCCCAAAACTCCTGACAGAAAGAAAGGAAGTACCTTATTTTCATATCACAACTTCGTACTGGATTGAAGGGATACTGCCTGAGAAGCGATACGGGGCTTTCTGGGTCTTGATGTGGGCTTTTAAAGTTCACTAAGGGTTCCAACACACACTTGTTTTGTAACTTTCTGTTTAGTAAGTACAAGTTCTGAAAGTTAAAACTTGAACTTCCCTGGGTTTGGGGAAGTCTGAAAGAAGGCATCGCGCGCCGGCGTTCAGGAGCTAGACTCGACCCTGCAAGACTTCAAGACTTCAAGCCTGCACACACACACACACACACACACACACACACATATATATATATATATATATATATGCGCACACGAGTCCCCTTAAATTCTCCAACAGAAAGTTCACACCAGAGAAGAGAAGCTAAGGACGGCACGCGATGGCCATGTCGAAGCGCTGGCAAGAAGGGAGCAGGCAGATTGCACGGTTGCAAGGTTTTAGGGTTTAGGGCTTAGGGCTTAAGGTTTAGGGTTTAGGGTTTATGGTTTAGGGCTTAGGGCTTAAGGTTTAGGGCGTATGGTTTAGGGTTTAGGGCTTAGGGCTTTCGAGATTCACAGACTTCACTCTTACGCAAACTCAGTACTCCCATAGTGTATACGTCCCAGTGATAGACCCTCAGTTTCGCCTGTTGATGCGACCCTTGCTAAAGGCAAGAAGGCCCTGCTTTCAGGTGTTGCCGGCAGCCTCAGTCCGTGCTTAAAACGGGCTTAGGGCTGCAAGAGACCTGGATGCCAAAAAGGGCTTAGGGTTTGGGGTTCGGATGCAAAAGGGTTAGGGTTCAGGGTTTAGGGGTTTAGGGGTTTAGGGTTTAGGGGTTTAGGGTTTAGGGTTTAGGGTTTGGAGTTCGAGCTTCCATGCTGGATCTCCTTCACCACGACCAAGCGGCGGCCATGTTTCACGTGCCATATTCCAAAGACAAGTGCTGTCCGACTTTCCGAGAACTTGTCACATTCATTGTTCTCTCAAAGCCCGACAAGAGCGTAAATGTTGCACCCTGTTTACTGTCTTGCCCCCCCCCCCCCTCTCCGCCCTGAACAGTCGAGGCTGGATTTGTCCCTGTTTAGAGACGCTCATATGATTTTAATGGGAAGGAGTTTAGATAAGTTTAAAAGGGGCAGCGATGCCCGGCTATCTTTGTTAAAGGCGCACCACGTGGAATTTTCTTACGGCGCCCGGACGATTTGCCTTTAAAGAGGGACCCCCAAACAGTCAGGGTTTCCTGAAAAACACAGCCAAACTGACTTCATAGAGGAGGCCCCGGCTAAACCAGGTCCAACATTAGTACCTTGGCGCTTTTTCCTAAACCCTAAACCCTAGACCCTAAACCCTAAACCCTAATCATAGCTCTTATTCCTAAGCTAAGGGAGCCGGGCCGAGCATACCTTTCGGATTCGGAGCCTTGTGAGACGCAGTTGCAGGTTCAGGACCTCATGGTGCGGGAATGCGTTGCATGTTAGGAACTGCCAGATGCTGCGCAGCCGCCGCTAATTCGATGCTACGACCAACACTGGGACTGCGAACTAGACAAGGGCACCCAACATTCTGAAGCCTCCCTGTCGCTTAGCATTCACGCACAGTGAAGGCGGCGCTCCAGTCCCAGCAGGTCGCCCTGGAAGCTTTGGCACAGCAGGCGGGCGCCAAGCCCCAAATCCGTACTGGCGTTTGGGGTGTGGGGTTTTGGGTAACAGGGTTGTGAGCTTCATGATGCCCCACTGCTGCGGATTGAGGAGACTTGCCTCTTGACTTGGTCTCCACATGCCCGTCAAAGAGATGGAGGGGGTTCCCAAAATTCTACTATTTGCTTAAGAACCCCAAAAGAATAAACGATGACAATCCCCATATTACCCCTTAATCAGGAAGAATATTTTTATTTTTCGGGGTTCTTAAGCAACCTACTAGAATAGGGGTACCCTTTCTGGGGGTTCCTAGAAGAAGGATTATTGAAAACATTCGAGGGGGGTTCTGGTGGGGGTACCCCTACTTTGTGGAAAGACCCAGACGCTGAGGTCTTTGTAGGACAGGGATGCGAGTCATGATCAGAAGCTCCTGCTTCGATCTGAGCTAGGAAACTTTGGGGAACCCTAAACCCTAAGCAAAACAGATCAGGTTATTGTAGAGCTGAGGGATGACATAGGGCCACAGGGTTAGGGTTTAGGGTTTGGAGTTTAGCATTTTAGGCTAAGGGTGGGTCACAAGTGTGGGGTGAGGGTACCTGCACATGGTGGGTGATGTTTTATTGGTCAGACCTTTTCTGAAGCGGCACGCCACCGTCAGGTAAGGCGTGGGCTTCGTAGGTTGCATTCCTGGTGATTGGCTTGCCTACGATTTGCTTTTAAGAACCTCCCCCAAAAAATAAAGAGAGTAGTCCCTATATTGCCCTTAAGGAATTTTTAAGTCTAAATCGTAGTTGCTGGTTCCTTCTTAGAGCCCCAAGCCCTAAGCGACACGAACTTGAGAGCTCTGCATGTGCTGTACCTGGCGGATTCCCAAAACTTCCCACAATGCTATAATCCTTATTGTAGGAACCCTCAAAAAGGGTACCCTCTGTGGGGATTAAGGCTACGGGCTTGTAAGGGCCTGGCCCTGGCTCGGGCTTGTTGGTCATAGTTCTTGGGTTCGAAATTTGTCTGAGAGTGCCGGGGACGACACAGTTCACTATTGCATAAAGGGTGGGAGGCAGTGGCCCTTCCTGCCGCCCACGTGCAGGCCTCACAATGAGGAGAATGCGTGTCAACTTGAACAGCCGCCACTACAGAACTTAGCTACGCCCTGAAAAAGACGCACCCTTCTTCTATAAGACTAAGCACAAGAAACCCTGCGGCACCGCGAAGTCAGGCGGCAAAGGATAGTGACGAGACGGTGACTGTGCCTGCATCCAGTGTAATCATCTATTGGGAAAGGCGAACACGCGCTTTGTGTTCTAGGGTTCCGGGTCCTCATGAGAAGGTACCGAGAAGGTCGAGGCTTTAGAGTGCATATAGGGCCGCGAAGGTGACACCCTACGTCGCCAAAGACGTCAAAACCAAAACGATGCAATCAGTCCATGTGGTTTCCGTCAATGTCGGTCCAAAGGTAGAGTGCTCGGCACCCCGACAGAGTGCCCGAGCCGAAAGTCGACAGCTCGCCTCGAAACAAGTCACCGTTAAACATACACGACATAAAGTACAATCCCAAATTTGTTTATGCCCCCCCTCCCCCCCAGAGAAAAATAAAACCCAGATGTTGCGGGAGTAGGTCCTTTCGACCAAGTCGAAGTGCGGAGCTTCTGCCCAGCCCAGGCAAGCTTGAAGTCCGAGCTGAAGCACGTCGAAGCCAAGGAGACCTGCTGAATTTGGCCCGGAATGCCTGTCTTTTGTTGCCGTTTTAGGGTTTAGGGTTTAGGGTTTAGGGTTTAGGGTTTAGGGTTTAGGGTTTAGGGTGTACGGTTTTCTCCTCTTTTTGTTTTTTGCGGGGGGCGGGGCGGGGGGGAGGGGGATGTGGGTGTCACAGCTCGAAAGTGAAACTCCGATGGCCGCGGCTCAAGCAATGAGCTTTAGATAACCGCAAGCAAAGGCTTCGAAGACCCACGAAGCTGACTGAAACTCGATTCACAATGGCTGCCTCTGCAGAGTCCGTTGAAGCTCCGGATCGCGTGTTGTTGGAAGGCCAGGCGGATGCTGCCTATGGCTCGACATCGGCTCAGGGCCGTGAAGGGAGCCGCAGCGACGCTCCTCGCCTCTCTCCCGAGGAGGTCCTTAATGAGGTGATGCGCAACTCGGTAGGCCCTCTCGGGACATTTTAATTTTTTCCCTTATTGGGTTAAAGAGGATCATGTTGAGGAATATTTTTCAGAGGGTTTTAAGGGCCATCCGAGGCAACGCCGACGAGTACATGAAGATCATCTTGAATGCTTTCCTCAGAGGGTTGGCACCTCTCTTTGCAGAAGCTCTTGGCACCTTTGCCCTGGTGTTCACTGTCGGATGCGTGGTCACCTCACCGACTCCGTCGCCATGGGGCGCAACATCCATCGCCTCGGTACTGATGGTCATGATCTATGCCACGGGGCCGATCTCGGGTGGGCATCTCAACCCGGCGGTGACGTTCGCCATGGCCCTGTTGGGGAAGAAGTCCTTTGGAGGCATGATGAAGTACTGGCTCTTCCAGTTCATGGGGGCCTTTCTCGCCGCGGCCGTCTACAAGATCGTCTGCGCACCGCACCTGGCAGTGGTGGCCCCTGTGCCTCCCTTCAACGCAGGCTACGCCGCCGGGGGTGAGCTGCTCTACACCGCCATGCTTGTGTTCGTTGTGCTCTGCTGCGCCGTGGCAAAGAGGAACACGCCGAACCAGTTCTATGGCCTGGCCATCGGCTTCGTGGTCTTGGCGGGAGGCCATGCTGTGGGGCGCATCTCGGGGGCTGCTCTCAATCCGGCGGTCTCGGTCACTTTGGGCCTGGGCAGTGGTAAGGACCCACACTGGGCCTTGGTCTGGTTTGGTGCCGAGCTCGCCGGTGCTGCCGTGGCTGCTGGAGCTTACCGTCTACTGCGGCCAGAAGAGTTTGGGAAGTCCGCTGGCGACCAGCCAGACCTCAAGACACGCTGTTTGGCTGAAGCATTTGGGACCTTTATGCTGGTTGTCACGGTCGGCCTGAACATCGTCAGCGGATCTCGTGCCACGGCCTACTCCGCCGCTGCTGCCCTCATGTGCATGATCTACTCCCTGGGAAATGTCTCCGGTGCCCATCTCAACCCAGCGGTCACCCTAGCAGTTCTCGCTGGCGGCCGTGAGAAGATCTCGCGACATGATGCTGCAGGCTACATCCTGGCTCAGATTGCCGGGGGACTGCTTGCAGGATTGGTTTATGCCGCTTACCACATGGGCTCCGCCGTTGCGGACAAGTCGATCAAGCTCGTCCCGGGAAGTGGCTTCGACTTGGTGCAGGCCTCCATCGCGGAAATGATCGTCACGATGATTCTGGGCTATGTCGTCCTCTGCATCGCCACCGTACGGGAGCCCCATGCCAAAGACCTCTTTGGACTCATCATCGCCTCCACGGTCACCAGGACCCAGAGTAGGCCCTTATTCCCCTTTTTCTAGGGCTTGGGTTCTCTTAGAGGCCCCTTTAAACCAAAAAGGGGTACCCTTTCTTTGTTCCTAGGTGAACCCTTGGGTCACTTTAGGTCACCGGCGGGAGCTTTGCCGTGGGCTCCGTCTCGGGAGGTGAGCTGAATCCCTCGGTGGTCCTCGGCCTCATGATCGGGAACGTGGTGAACCCGGGCAAGGGGGGCATCTTGGTGGCCCATTGGTACACTTGTGTTACCCCTTTTTTGGGTTCCAGGTTTCCTCATAAAGTAGCTCCAACCCCAAGAAAGGGTACCCTAAACCCTAAACCCTACACCCTAAACCCTAAACCCTAAACGCTAAACCCTAAACCCTAAACCCTAAACCCTAGCTAAACCCTTCTTAGAATATGGTTACGGGACTACCAAGGTATGGGTCCCGTGGGAAGTTGGGTCGCCCTGCTCTTTTCAGAGCTTTTCGGCGGCCTGCTGGCCGCATGCCTCTTCCGGATGACGCACCGCGGCGAGTTCATTGAAGTGGCCAAGGACTTGGTGGCTCAAACCCAACTTTTCAACTTTTGGCCTCTTATAAGGTAGCCTTATTCTGAAATTTTGATCTTTTCACCCTGTGGGTGTTTGGGAAGTAAGAGGATGGCGAGGACAAGGATGATGGTGCGAAGGGATTGGAGAAGGACACGCATCAGAAGGAGGCCATGGACGTGGAAGCTGCTGCGTGATGCATGGCTCCTCTGAGAACTGGCGCCTGCTGAGTTTATCAAGGATGCTGCTGGAGAGATGGCGAAAGAAAAGGGAGCAAGGTTCCTGTCGCATGTCCGAGCCAAGCCATATGATCAGCAGCCCTAAGCCCCAAACCCCTAAGCCCAAAAACCCCAAGCCCCAAACCCCTAAACACAAACCCCCAGATCGCTCTCAGGAGGCCGCCTTGGAGAAGAAGCTTGGATCAACAGCTCGGCCTTTTTTGGGGGAGTTTCGGGTTTGGGGTATAGGGTACCGAAAAGACAGCACCATAATTTAGCTCAGCTGGCCGCCGGCCCTCCCCACATGGCACGAAGTGTCTAAAGCCCTAAACCTTAAACCCTAAACCCTAACCCTAAACCTTCTTAAACCCTCGCTCTAACGGGCAAGGCTGGTCCAGCGCCAGTCCAAAGAGCTGCTGGCGGAGAAAGCTGGCAAGCTGAGGGCGCAGGATCGGATGGCAAGGGAACCTCCACAGGAACCCCAAAAGGGGAAACTGCTAGGAATGAAGTAGGTATGGGGTTTAGGGGTTTAGGGTTGAGGGTTTAGGGTTTAGGGTTTAGGGTTTAGAAGGATAGGGTGGGAATATACCGGGCATGGGAGGCATGGGACCTGTAGATGAGGTGCCGGTAGTTGCATCAGGCAGGCTTCGGATGCTTGGGTGTTTAGGGTTTAGCTGCAACCCTACATCCCAGCTTCCGCGCATCCTTGAAGAATCATGTTTGGTTTTTGTCTGCTTATGTAAAGCCCACGGAAAGATTTGAAACCCTAAGCCCTAAACCCTAAACCCTAAACCCTAAATGTCAAGGCTTATGATTACTCTACGGGGAGTAGAGACCTGCCCTGCCCAGGCAGAGCTCCAGGATCAGCAGGCATCCTTACACCGGGCCAAGATCGCTGCCGACCTCGCAGGCACCGTGAAGTCTGCGTTCAGGTGTCTTGGGGTTTGTAGGGTTGAGAGTAACAATTAGAATAGGTTTTGGGGGTTATTATTGTATATTTATATTTAGGGACCATAAGGGAGTACTATTAGTAAGTCTATACCTGAGTTGCTTCAAGCTGTTTGGCTGGCTGCAGGCTGCATCTTGGCGTGGAGTCGGATCCACATACCCTAAACCCTAAACCCTAAACCCGCAAGACGAATTTTTGCAGTCGTACCCGGGGCATGGGCAAGACTCCCTCTGCCATGTCAGCCATGCAGGAGTTGCCAAGTCTTCTTACTCTCTGCTGGGCATCGCTGGGAAGAGTGTGGCAGAATTCAGTGCCCCGACTCTAGTTCACTCATAGTCTTCGGGGGCTCTACCAGAATCTTTCTTGCCCCGAAAGGTTAGTTAAGGTTAAGAGTTTTTGGCTTAAGGTTTAGGAGAAACAAAGGTTTAGGGCGGGTGGGGTGCCAAGGGCGGGTGGGGTGCCAAAGGTTCGCGGGACTCAAGTGCCCACAGAGAAAAAAGTCGATGCTAGCAAGTTGGACGTCTTCCGAAGAGCCAGTGCGTGCGTTCGTGGATCGAGTCCTTCCGTTCTTACTTTTATTTGCAATAAGATGGCGCCATTTCATCCAATAATTGACATTCCCCAGAAGCGCAGAAGCCTCAACAACACTAAACCCTGAACCGTAAGCCCAGGCCGAAAATCTGCGGGGACAGTGGGTCGTCCAGCGGTTCCAGCCATTCTAGGCTATGTAACCTAGCCGTCCCAAGAGTTACCCGACTTCTATCCAGTGGTCCAGGTGCAAATTACCCTTGAACCTCCCAGTAGGTCAATTTGAGTCTCTGGCACATACCCAAAGAGCCCAATACCCCTTAATTAAGGAATATTCCTTAAATCACAATAAGGGTCCCTTTATAATTTAAGGTATATTCTTTAATTAAGGGGTATTGGGCTCTCTGGGTAGGCTGTGCAGCTGGGGGTTCCTGTGGGCAATGGTGAAAGACGCTTTGGTCAACTGTTTCTGACTGCTTCACCCCTGCAACATGGTAGTGCTACACTACCTCCACTGCGTTCCACCAGATCTCTTTATACGATAGGTCGCAAGACTTGAGGCAAGAAGCTGTGTTCACTGTGAGCGTGCGCCGTCGACTGTAGGTAAGCCCACACCCTGAAACCCTGGAACCCTGAACCCCTGAACCCTGAACCCTAAAGCCTAAAGCCTTGCCTGCCTTGTGCGAGCGTGAAACATCTCCTAGGCAGGCCCTTGGGACATTTCATATTTTCCCCTTCTTGGGTGTAAGAGGTTCATATTCAGGAATATTTCTCAGAGGCTTTTTCAGGGCCATCCCAAGAAACCCGTAGGTCCGAAAAACCCTAAACCCTAAACCTCTGAAGCCGCTAATTTCGGAATGGTTTTCGGAGGGTTTAATAATTTAAGGGCCACCCTAAACCCTAAACCCTAAACCCTAAACCTCTGAACCCTGTGCTCCCCAGGCCTCGACGCCTTGAAAGACCAGCTTCTGGGCGGAGCGGCACGCTTCCAGCACTCAAAGGGCTCATATCCCGTTTGGGGGTTCAGGGCTTAGGGTTTAGGGTGTAGGGTTTAGGGTTTAGGGTAGTTATGAGTGGGGTTGTAAGTAAGGCAACTATATCTGGAGCCGGTCAAAACATTTTTAGGGCACGAACAATCCTACCTATAGCTACCCATGAACCCTCAAGTATAGTGACGATTCTAGTACCATCCAGCCGTTTGCTTCCGGGTTTCGGGCAGGAAGGGGCATGTACTCAGCCAGCTGCAAGGCACCGTGAACCTCCCAAGGGTGCTGAATCTCAACTACCCGATGTTAGAATAATGCGAAGGCTGAAGACTGAAGCCGGAAGCCTCCGCCCTCATCCATAGCTAGCTTCACGGCGCAGGTCTACTTTGTCCTGGTGATGCTTGCGGCATACCTTTATGTGACCCTCGGGCCAGGCAAAGGTTCAGCCATCGAAAGAGCAAACTTGGGACATTCCCCCTTAAACTAACAGTCCTTAATAGGGATTATAGTACCCCCTATTATCATCCCTACGAAGGACTGTTAGAAGATGGGGAACACCCCAAGAGCAAACACAAGACAGGCCCGAAAGCAGCAGTGGCTTCGAAGGTCTTCGAGGCTCTGAGAATTTGAGCAAGAAAGGCCTTCATTCACATGGGGGGTTTACGATGACAGGGGACCCTCTTTTTACTGTAGACCCCCAAATAGTAGCACCTTATCAATTGACCCCAATAACGTAGCCCTGATATCGTAAACCCCCATATCAGTCATGCCGATTATGTATGTGCACAAGTACATACATAACATGTAAATGTGTATATAGCATAATTGCGGAAGCTAACGTAGTGGAGCTTGCTTTTCACCCTTGGGCCCTGAACCCTAAACCCTACACCCTAAACCATGTTCTCCCCTTGACCCGGCAGTACCCGAAAAGTCCCTCCCTAGTTCGGTTTAGAACTCCCTAAAGCCCTTAGCCAGTCTGAGGACCTGGTGCCACTATCCCTACCCTGTGCTGAAGAACAAGCCGGCGGTCACCCGGGAGGGCTTCACTTTCAGCTTGTGGGAGTGCCTTGCTTGATTTTGCTGTGACGCTGCGGATGCCCTAAGTAGAAGGGGCAGTAGGGTTTAGGGGTTTAGGGTTTAGGGGTTTAGGGTTTAGGGGTTTAGGGTTTAGGGTTTAGGGTACAGTCGACAGAGGGGGAAGGGGTATAGGGTTTAGTGTTGATGATGGGCCTGATCACGTAGAAGCACAGGGGTTGTGCTTTCTGATTTTCCTTCCCCTGCAGGCTGAGACTATGCCTTCCGCTCCTTTCATGTGCTGATTTACGTGGGTCTTGGAACTTTCTGTTTGGCTGTTTGAGCATCCGAGCATCCCTGTCTGAGGATGTGCAACTTCGATAAAGATGCGCCATCGAAGGAGAACTCTGTCAAGCACCCAGGTCCCAAGCCACAGCAGGTTCAACCCTAAACCCTAAACCCCCCAAACCCTAAACGGGCCCTAAACCCTACAATTCCTGTTGAGAATCTAAGGTTTGATCCTTAGTAGTGTACAGACGAGTTACATAACAAAAGACCGAAATTAAGGGCCCATACGTCGGATCCCCTAGACAAGCTGAGCACAGGGCACCCTGGAACGAATGGACCGGTTTCCATGGGCGCACGGCCTTCCAGGTGTTACGAAAGGCGCTCCAAATGAGGGGGCTTCCGAAGATAGGGGCACCCTTTTCAGTACAATGCTCAAAACCCCAACCTCTTCTACTTAGAGGTTATAAGTGGGGTTACAGGTGGGGCAACTCCAGTTGCAACTGCTTTTCTAGGGTACTAACAACCCTACTTAACTACCCATGAACCGCCCATGAACCTTCAAGCACAACCCTTTGGGATGTCCGCCCTTGTACTAACAAGTCCTGAATAGGGACTGTCATAGGGGATTATACTATAATCCCTGTTAGTTTCAGGGGGAACATCCCAAACAACCCTTCTTAAACCACGCGCCAAAAGCAGCTAAACTCGCACCATAGCGCCTCAATCTAAACCCTCAACCCTAAACCCTCTCAGTTGCTCAGACTCCCAGATAGCGCCGAGTAAACCCTAAACCCTAAAACCTCTAAAGCTAAGGATCATGCGGGACATGCGCATCCCCTTCTTCTCCTGCCTGTGCCTTGGGTTTTGGGTTTTGGGTTTTGGGTTTAGGGTTTAGGGTTTAGGGTTTAGGGTTTAGGGTTTAGGGTTTATAGGATTACAGGGTTTAGGGGGTTTAGGGTTTATAGGGTTTAGGGTTTAGGGTTTCAGCGGGCTTCGGATTGGAGAGGGACCTCGATACCTCAAGGGTCAGGTTTTGGGGCTTAGGGTGAGGGACCTCGTGGGGTTGCTTGCATGTTCTCGGGAGCCTTAAACCCTAAACCCTAACCCTAGATCCTAAACCCTAAACCCTAAACCTTTGACTTCAGAACATGTGTCTTGAGGGTTTATCTTTCAGGAGGCTTAGGTGGTGTGCTCCCTGAAGCATATGGGGGAACATCCCAACTAGAGCCTATAGTGCAGGTGCTCGCCGGTGCGTTGGGCAGACACTGCGAGCTCGGCGAAGATTAACTTCTTGCCCTTCTGGACAGGCATTTTAGGGTTCAGGTCTCCAGCAAAGAATCAGCAACTCGAAACCCTAAACACTCAACACTACAACCCTGAACCAAAAGCTCTAAACCCCCGAGAGCTGCCATGCATGAATTGCCAGGCATTAATTCCTCAAAAGGTTTGCCCTAAACCCTCACCCCTAAACCCTAAGCCCTAAACCCTAAACCCTACGCCACCAAAAGCAAGAAGCAACTCAACCCTGAGCTTTGGATCTCGGCTTTCTGGGGTGCCCTCGAAGCGCGAAACGTTGGGTTCCGAGTCAGCGGTTGATCAGTGGCATGAAAGCTCACAGACAAGAAGAGTTTAGGGTTTGGGGTCGCCTTGCCGCAAGATCTGGTAGATAAGAACCCAAGGACAAGCAGCTCAGAAGCCCAGGATCGAATTGGATTTGAGCTTGTGGTTCAAGCCTCTCACTTTGCCTCGAGAACGGCAGTCACCTTCAACCACTTGATACGTACCCCCGCGAATCCTGACCCCTTTGCCTTCCCAAGCTAAAGCCAACTTCCAGCTTCAACAGGGCTTGCGACGATTTGCACCGTGCAGGCGTGTTCCTCGTGACATTCCTGAATGCCCTCACCGCTGCAGCTTGGTTTGCGCAGTCTCCGGCTTTCCTAACACTTATTGAAGGTTTTTGGGGGAAACCTGAATAGTTTGAGAGCCTGGCATGGTGTCCCGAACTGTTTGCCGATGTGTGGCAGTGCGGTATGATCGAATTTGTTGTGGGCTCAGGTCCAGAACTTTGCTGCAACAAGCCCTATAGGCCCTGAACCCTTGGTTCCTCTACGGCTTCATACGCAACGAGCCTGTGTTTAAAGGCTGCCGGCATGATGTCCTAATTCACCTTCGTAGAGTTCCTTAAAGCGCAGACTTAGGAAATGTTTTGATGTTGTCACCATAAAAGATTCTTGGGTTAGTTGTGTGCCCTAGACATCCATAGACTCACCGTGAGACCAGAGCTTGTATTCGGGATGCCATGGAGAGGATGTTTCAAGTTTATGGGCGTAAGACTTTGTACCCGGCCTGGTTCCCGCCAGCAGGCCTCTTTCTATGTGACCGCTCTCATCTACATGTTCATGGCTGCAAACCATCGCCAGCTCATCCGACGGATCTATGGCATGCCGCACGGCGCCTTGCCAAGCAGAAGGCATCTAGGCATGTAGCGTCAACAGCTTTCGCAAAGGATATTTCGGCAACGGGGTGTGGCAGGTGGTATACCCTGCAGCTGCCCCGTCTAAGATAAGCCATGAGGAGATAAGTTCGGCACACGAGCGGGTCCATAACTGAGACAACCAGATCCATGAAACATGAAGGCGTATCAGTGCGCTCCTCCTTCCTCAGCCACAGAAGAAATCTTAAGTTGGCGTTGCCGGCGATGGCATTGACAATGCGTACGGGGCGAGAGTTGAGGATTTACCAAGCACCACCCTGGGCTCCAGGCTCAGAGGGCTGCGAGGGCTACAGAACCCTGCCCCATAGCCGTTTTGGCTGATGAAGGCTCCTCGCTGACATGCGTGGCTGTGGGCCAGGTGGCTTCCGTTGTCGCAACCCTGTCCTCGCAAGCAATGGCCTGAACGGGGCTTGCAAGGAATGCCCAACCTTCGCCCCGGCTTGTTGCAGGTGCGGGCACCACTTCCCATCGTTGACAAGAGTTGTATATCATCTTGCGCCAGCCCTTGCACTGCAAGGCTGCTCGCTAACCCTGTGGGTCAGGGCCGAGGCGCCTCTGCACATGCCTCCCGGGGCGGTCCCACTTTGCGCTCCATCTCTGTTCCTGAACAAGAACCCAATGCAGTCTGCGTTCGGTTCGGGCCCCATACTGTATAGTAGTCTCCTAATTTCAGGTATGATGATAATAAGGCACTCTTGCAAGCCCATGAAGCCACTGATACGGCACGAGGCATGAACTATGCAAGTATTGATTGCTACTTGACTTCGGGGTTACTTTTTTGTTCAAGAGGCCAGAGCAAAGCGTCCTGTGCCTCTCCCAGATGAGTTCAAGGGCAGGTTTCCGCCAAGCTTTCAAGACTCGACAACTCCTGTTAAAAAAAAACACACTAAGGCACTTGGAGGACCTACACCGAGGACTGGGTCCCAGCAACAATCAGACAGCAGATTTTGGCAGGTCCCCACATGAAAGCCCCTCTTAAATGCTCACAAGAGGGGCAGGCCAACAAATCAGAAAGGCCAGAGCATTTGAAATTCGACACGCGTTGCACGCATGTGTCTGTAACCGAACAAGGCCACGGCTCTGTCAGCCACATTTGCTTCAGCTTTGACAGGCATCACACGGGGCTCCTTCATTTAGGGCCTTGAGTGTGTTGGTGGTCCTTTAGGGGGCGGTGCTGGGGGCCGTGTGAGCAACCCCAAACCCTGAACCCTAAACTCTAAACCCTAAACCGTAAACCCTAAACCCGCACAAGAGGACTGCTGCACTTGGATGTGGTGCTCTTGCTGCGCCACGATGCAGGAGGCCATGGAGCGACTGGGCTTCTGAGATGTCTCACTCCTGCTCTTTACTTGGAGGTGCAAGTGGGGCTATGAGGAGGGTTTAGGGTTTAGGGTTTAGGGTTTAGGGTTTAGGGCTACTTGGAGGTTTATGGGAAGTTATAAGCGGGGTTATAAGAAAGGTAACCAAGCTAACTATACTTGATAACTTTACCTAGGGCACTGAAAAATCCACTTATAACTACCCATGAACCTCCGAGTAGGGGTCCATTGTGCCCCCCCAGCACAGTTCGACAGAGTTGATCTACACAAAGACGGCAAGCAGCGCAGGAGTTTTGACGTATGTTGATGTGGAGTCTTTTGGCTTCGGGGCTGCGGTAAAGGAGGTGGGACTCGATGTCGATGCCGTCGGATACGAAGCCTGCCGATGCTAGCTTGGCCGTTGCAACCAAGCACCATGAACTAAACCCTAGACCAGTGTGGTTACGAGGCTGCTAGGCAGGTGGCAAAAACCCCAAGAGTCTCCTCGCTTCAGGGCCCTCAGGTGATTTTTGTCTACAGGCAATCGCGCACGGCAGCTCCCATCTACCAGGCCCACACCCTACACATTAAGCCGAAAGCCCAATGACCCACCATCAAGGATTCAGTACGTGGACCCTGTGAACAAGCCGTGGCAGCATCCCGCAGCGCATTTTTTCTGCTGCTTTTGTTTTTGCTACGGGCCTTGTCTTCCCAAATATGCTGATACCCCCACGGCCCCCACGTTGCCTCAATTAATAGGGCTACGGCCACTGACCCTACAACTCCCAAACCCTACTGGCAAGCGTGTTATGCTGAAAGACGCCGATAGGCAGGCAAGATAGTTCCAAACGCAACATGTCATTTAGTGAAATCCCCCTCTCTATCCAGCACCTGCCATGTGTGCAGGTCTTTCATTTCGTGTAATCCTCGGCTTTCAGTTTGGGGTGCGGTGCGCGGCGTATTGTTTAGGGTTCCTGAGTCCGTGTCGGTCAGTGGATCGTTTGCTTGGCTTCCATGGGCCCTGGATGCCATGAGGGGCGGCCACTTGGAGGGACACGCAATGGTCAATCTTTCCAGGGCTTCAGGCCGAAACCCTAAACCCTAAACCCTTAACCCTAAACCCTTAACCCTAAACCCTGAACCCTGAACCCTGAACCCTAAACCCTAAACCCTGAACCCCTCGGAAAGCCCCCCACTTCACTAAAGCCCTAGGCAGAGTATGGTCGACTCGGTGGTGCCCTCGGCCTTCCAGACCGAGAAGGAGCCAGAGGCGCAAAAAAGCAGTACATTCTAAGGGTTTTGTTTAGGGTTTCTTAGGTTTTTTGTAGGGTTTGTTTAGGGTTTGAGGCGCGAGACCCGGTTTGCTTAGGGTTTTTTTTTGCTTTCGGGGGCGAGGGTTGAAAACCAGGTTTTAGGGCTTCAGGGATGCAAAGGGGGTTTAGGCTTCAGGGCTTTTAGATTTAAAGTTTAGGGCTTTAGGGTTTGGAGCTTCAGGTTTGAGAGTTTCGCGGTTTAGGGTTTGGAGTGTAGAGGGAGGGGGTTTGGAGTGTTGGCGGTTTGGGGCTGGAGGGTCTGGGTTACAGGGTCCTTTAACCCAAGGTTGCCCGACACTCCCCACTGCTCCCTGGGCCTCCCCAAGGTTCCCCAAGGTTCCCCAAGGTTCCCCACGTACCTACCCCCCCCCCCCAAGAAACTCCCTACCTTAAGAACCCTGCAATTAGGAGTTGGTGTTCCCCCTTATACTAACAGTCCTTAATCGGGATGAAAGCTATGTCTGAAAGAGGACCCGAGATGGTCATATTTGATAGCCATAGGATTCACACTTTGTGGGCTCGAAGGGTCATCAGATTTCCCCTTAGTTGGCCCAAAATTGGGTTTGGGAAGGGGGGTGGGGGGGGGAGGGGGGGGGGGCTCCAGGCTAAGCCCAAAGAAGGCTTTAGGGTTTAGGGCAAGTTGGGGGTGTGTAGGGTTTAGGGTCGATGGCGACGTGCAAGATTCTACTCCTTGGCCACCAGAAAGCGCAAATCATGAAGATGAGGGGCCTGACAAGCCTCATCCCTAGCAAAACTGAATCTCCGGATGCTTCTATGGGTATTTCCCAAAATAGGGGCACCCCTTTTTATACCCCAAATAGAATGGAATCCCCCAAAAGGGACCCCATGGAATCCCCTAAACGGAACCCCAAAAAGGGTACCCCTAACACAGCCCTAAATCCTACACCCCTAAATGCTAAACCTAAACCCTAAACCCTAAACCCAAAAAGGGTACCCCTAACACAGCCTGTGCAGGGGGGGAGCGTGGAGCGGCGCCAAAACACCAGCTGCTGCTGAGAGGCTGTAAGAGATGTGGCGTCGGCTTCATGCTGAGCTCTAAGGGTTTAGGGTTTAGGGTTTAGGGTTTAGGGTTTAGGGTTTAGGGTTTAGGGTTTAGGGTTTGGCGAGGACGTTCTGCAAGCCTGCTAGGGTTTAGGGTTTAGCTCACCAGTATACATAAACATCTTCGCTTCACTACGCAAGATAAGTCGTGTTTCGCAAGTCATCCACCCTTCTATTGAACCTCTCTAAGCCCGAAGCCTCCAAATCTGAGCCTAACTACTTGGAGGTTCATGGGTAGTTATAGGGTCATAATTCTAACTGGTTATAACCTTTTTCAGGGTACTATAACCCTACGTATAACTTCGCATGAACCTCAAGGTGAGCCCCAAAGCTCCGCTGAGCTCGGCGCGCGCGTCAGCAGAAGCCGCAGCCAGGGCAGAGATCGACTGCAAAGGGCAGAACACAAAGATCGCGCGAAAAGGCTTGGAGCTGGGGGGGTTTCCGAAAACAGGGGTACCCTTTTTGCGGGGGTCCCTTGAAGGGGATTCTATACTATTTGGGATATAAAAGGGGACCCCAAAACAGATCCCAGTGTGTGGGTCCAGAGCCACGGCGTCTAGGCTTGGGACTGTGCGTGGGGGCTCTGCTTGGGACGATTCTGCCCGTGCCAACTACACTGATAAACGGCTGCATTTTGTTCAATGATATTTGGGCATGGTAGGGCTGGCTCAAGCTTGTCTCTAGGGTTTCATGATGAAAGCGGGCTCATGACAGCACCTCGGCGATGGCGAGTGATCTCCAAAGCCCTGTGTGAGTTATCCCCGCAGTACTCGTTTGGAATCCAGAACTCAGCCTCGAGAAGATGGGCGAAGTCCAGCAGTGCCCTTAAGACCAATTGAAGCACCCCCTTTCAGAAGAAAAAGGACCATTTCGAAACAACATGGGGGGGGGGGGGGGTATTGTAAGATGATCATACAACTTGGGGGTCTAAGTTACTTGGAGGTTCATGGGTAGCAATAAGTTGGGGTTATGAGTAGGGTAACAATAGTTATAACTGGTTATAACCTTACTTAGGGCACTTATCACCCTACCTATAACTACCCATGAACCTTCAAGTAGCCCTCAACCCTAAACCCTAAACCCTAAACCCTAAACCCTAAACCCCGGTACCCATGAACCTTCAAGTAGGGGTCCCTGACTGTCGTAAACCCCCCCCCCCCCACATTTGAGTCAAAAGACACTCGCAGGACGCCACAGCAGGGACAGACGCGCGGCCGCGCTCAGACCGAGGCACCCTTGAGAGCTTGTTTTTGTTTGCATCAGGGTTTGGGGTTTAGGGTTTAGGGTTTAGGGTTTAGGGTTTAGGGTTTAAAAGTGCAGCGTTTGCACCTGAGCCCCACCCTCTAAACTCCAGACCCTCTAGACAAGCGTCGGGCCTTGTCCCACAGCGAAGGCGCTGCCGACGATTCTGCTCAACGAGGCACAGCATGCTTGTGCCAGTTGAGGAGAGGCTTTCCCATAGCCCCCTCAGAATTATTTTGATTTTGTTTTCTATAAAACCCAAGGGAACATTCAGACATTACTATTTTGTAATAAAGCCCCGGGGGGAATTTCTTGTAAGGGTTCTAAGGTAAGGGGATCATAGCTTCAGATGTTGAATGCTTTTTTGGGTTTAGGCTCACAAAAAGGACTCTACTCTAAGACGCCGGGGCTCATAAGCCCTAGGCAGACAGGTGCCGAGTGTGAGCTGTAGACCTCTTCTTCCCCTAAACCCTAAACCCTAAACCCTAAACTCTAGAAAATGGGACGCTGTGGGAGTGCACTTTTTCCGTAAAAAAAAACATGCAAATCCTAAAAACAACCTAAAAACACACGAAAAGCGTGAAAAAAACAAAAAACACACACAACAAATCCCCACAAAAACCAAAAATAAAAGAACCAAGAAAACAAGAAAACAATCCTGAGGGACTCTGTTGGGGAGCCGGACCCCTGGGAAGAGTCTCTCAGGATTGTTTCTTGTTTGTTTTTTTTGGTTTTTTGGGGGTTCTTGTGTAAGAAAACAAAAAAAACCAAAAAAAACAAAAAAACCAATCCTGAGGGACTCTGTTGGGGAGCCGGACCCCTGGGAAGAGTCTCGCAGGATTGGTTTTTTGGGTTTTTTTGGGTTTTTTTGGTTTTCTTGGTTTTTTTGGTTTTTGGAGGATTTTTGTGCAAGAAAACCAAAAAAAAACAATCCTGAGGGATGTTGGGGAGCCGGACCCCTGGGAAGAGTCTCTCAGGATTGTTTTTTTTGGTTTTTTTTTTTTTTTTTTTTTTTTTTTTTTTTTTTTTTTTTTTTTTTTTTTTTTGTTTTTTGGTTTTTGGAGGATTTTTGTGTATTATTGGAGATGTTTCTGTATCATTTCCTTTTGTACGGTTTTTCGGTATCTTCTGAAGGGTGTTTTTGTTGGGCCTTCTTTAGGTTCTTTGGTGTTATTTCCTTTTGTACGTTTTTTGTTTGTACAGTTGTTTCTGTTATTTGTGTTGTGTGTGTGTTGTTTATTTCTGAGTGTCCTTTTGTACGTGACAAACGCGCTAACATGGACAATCAAGCACACCGCATTACCAAAAAAAATCGAATCCAGCAAAATCTCGAGAGTACCCAAATTTCCATATAGTCAATCACGGCCCAATACGCAAGACATGACATCTATCCTGAAAAACTATACCTTAGCTAGGATATTTCAAGCAATCATCCCCCAATAAGCAAACCCTAATATCTATACTAAACACTGTACCTTAGCAACATATTTTAAGACATCACGCCCTAAGGCTCCTACCAATTTAATACGGTTCCTATCAATTTAAACAGCGGTCTTATTCATGTTACTGGGATTCGCAAAGGTATAGTTCTTGTTAAAGGATCCTATTGTTTTTCAGGCCTATTGGTTCCTATTCATTTTAGTAAGATTCATTCTCGTCCTAATGGGATTCCTGTGAATTATAACCCGGTTCTTTTTGATTTGTCAAGGGTTCCTATTCATTTTAATAGGCGTCCTTCCTATTACCTGTTTTCCGGTTCCGATAATTTAATAGAGGATTCCTATTTATTTTCATAGGATTCCAATAAAGTTTCATAGGGTTCCTAATTACTTTAAAAAGGCCCCTACTCATGTAATAAGATTCCTATCCTTTTGTTGTCAGATTCTTATTCATGCTAATGGGATTCGTTTTAATATTAATAAGGATCTCATTCACTTTAAAGGGATTCCTATCGATTTAGGCTCATGTTCATTTTCGTAGGATTCTTATTATTTTTCTAGGGGTTCACATTTTTTTTATAGGGGTCCGATTGATTCGTGTTAATTGTAGTAGGGTTCCTCTTCAGTTTAACAGGGTTCTTGTTAATTCTACGAGGATTCTCCTTAATTTTGAGGGGCCTCCAATTCATATTCAGAGGCTTCCTATTGACTTTACGGCGCCGATTAATTTAAAATAGGGTTCCTATGGATTTAAATGGAGGATTCCTATTGTTGTTTTTAATAAAGTTGGCCCATTTATTTAGAAAACGGGGACAGTAACTCAGGTCAGGACATACACTGTATCGCTGCTTTGTGTTGGCGTACTTGCATGTTATGCATGTCTCGTGATTTTGTTTATATACAATACGGGTACGTTGCGAGAGTGTTTTTAAAATGTCTTTCAATAAATGGAAAAAAGTGCACTCCCACAGCGTCCCGGTCTCAAACTCTAAAGGTGGACTTCGGAAGCCTCCAGCATCCTTAGACCCTGAAGCCTAAACGCGAGGTTTAGGGTTTGGGGTTAAGGGTTTTATTTAGGGTTTAAGGGTTTAAGGGTTGAAGGGTTTAAGGGCTTAAGGGCTTAAGGGCTTAAGGGCTTAAGGGTTTAAGGGTTTAGGGTTTACCTTACAGAAGAAGGGGCTGTCGAGAAGGGTTCGGGAGGTGCTCTACACCCGGATTAAAACTTTGAAGCCTCGTCTTTTTGAGCCATCAAGCATCGACAACATCAGAAGGCCCACTTGAAGGTTCATGGGTATATGTGCGGTTATAGGCACCCGAAAGAAGGTTTTAACCCTAAACCCTAAACCCTAAACCCTAAACCCTAAACCCTAAACCCTAAACCCTAAACCCTAAACCTAAACCCTAAACCCTAAACCCCCACTTATCACTCTAGTTACCCTACTTATGACTACCCATGAGCCTCCAAAGCACAGCTGGCCAGGCAGAGGAACCCAGCGACAACACAGGCACCCTGGCAGGGCGGTGCCCATGCCTAGGGTTTGGGATTTGGGGTTTTTGGGTTTAGGGTTTAGGGTTTAGGGTTTAGGGTTTAGAGTTTAGGGTTTAGGGTTTAGGGTTAGGGTTTAAGGCTTGGGTACTAAAGTTAAAGGATAGGGTCTCAAGGGCGGATTCATGGGCAACACTGACAGGTGGGATGGATTCAAGGTGGTACGAACTCTATGTGATGGAGGTAGCGAACACGAGGGCTTTTTCACCTTTGATTCTGTTCCCTGGGCTTCTTATTAAATAGACTTCGTAACCGCCCGGGATAATAGCAAAGTAAAGTCTGAACCGGGTTTTTGGGGTCCATAGGGTTTAGAGGGTTTATAGACCCCAGCTAGGAACTTTCTGCGGTTTTGTTGTTCGGCTTCTGAAGATTCGAGCCTCAAGCCCAACTTGGTCAGAGGTGTAGGGTTCAGCATGGGATGTTCCCCCCTATACTAACAGCTCCTTAATACTGATTATAGTAGGGGTACGATAATCCCTATTAAGGACTGTTCGTATAAGGAATCAACATCCCAAGGTCTAGCGTTTCGAAAGTTTAGGTCAAAAAGACTTGAATGATCTAAACCCTTCCGATTCCCAACAGCTGCCCGAAATAGCATCAGAAAGTTACAGTTCATTCAATCTCGGAGGTTTTCGGGAGTCAACAGGGCAACGGCACATCAACCTACCACAACTTGAAACCTGCAAAAATCCCAAGAAATCCAAACCCCAATCCTTGGACATCCGCTA